TCAGAGGATAGCGTGTGTCAGGATAACGTGTGTCAGAGGATAAGGTGTGTCAGAGGATAACGTGTGTCAGGATAACGTGTGTCAGGATAATGTGTGTCAGAGGATAATGTGTGTCAGAGGATAAGGTGTGTCAGGATAACGTGTGTCAGGATAATGTGTGTCAGGATAATGTGGGTCAGGATAACGTGTGTCAGAGGATAACGTGTGTCAGGATTACGTGTGTCAGGATAACGTGTGTCAGAGGATAACGTGTGTCAGGATTACGTGTGTCAGGATAACGTGTGTCAGAGGATAACGTGTGTCAGGATTACATGTGTCAGGATTACGTGTGTCAGGATAACTTGTGTCAGAGGATAACGTGTGTCAGGATAACGTGTGTCAGAGGATAACGTGTGTCAGGATAACGTGTGTCAGGATAATGTGTGTCAGAGGATAAGGTGTGTCAGGATAACGTGTGTCAGAGGAAAATGTGTGTCAGGATAACGTGTGTCAGAGGATAACGTGTGTCAGGATAACGTGTGTCAGAGGATAACGTTGTCAAGATAACGTGTGTCAGGATAACGTGTGTCAGAGGATAACTTTTAGGGGTCAGATTTTTTTTGTCCTCTACCCTGTTGGGCCTGGGGATTGAACACAGGTCATCAGACTTGTCCTAAAATGCCTTTATTGGGTAGTCCATTTCCATGGTCTGAGTTTGCTTTTTTAAAATTTCCAATTACTTTGTTCAGAGCCTGGTAGACCCCTTCATTGCTGTCTGCTCCTGATTGTCTGGAGTACTGTGAGTAGATCTGCCAGTCAATGGAAAGCAAAATAAGACCAAACAACGGAAGAGGGAGAACTGTCCCAATCGTGCAGTGTTTGCTGAGATTGTCCCAACTGTCTGGTGTCGCATGTACCCCACAGAATCCCAAAGCGAGGCAAAGCAAGGAAGTTATTCTCTCCTTCAGGGCTGTATTTCTACAGACTGGGGACAATGCTCAGTGCTAACTGCAGCTTCAAATGTGTGATGAAACCAAGTCCCTGCCATTCATTTTGTTCTGTGTTGATTTCAGCCTCCATTCTGTAACTGGCAAAACATCTCTTTATGACTGGGATGGAGCCAGGGTCTTGTGCATATCAGGCAGCTGCTCCACCACTGAGCTATGCCCTGAGCCCCTCACTGGGGGATTCTAGGCAGGGGCTCTACCTCTGAGCCACACCCCAGCCCCTCACTGGGGGATTCTAGGCAGGTGCTCTACCACTGAGTCACACCCAGCCCCTCACTGGGGGATTCTAGGCAGGGGCTCTACCACTAACCCACACCCCATCCCCTCACTGGGGGATTCTAGGCAGGTGCTCTACAACTGAGTCACACCCCAACCCCTCACTGGGGGATTCTAGGCAGGTGCTCTACCACTAACCCACACTCCGGCCCCTCACTGGGGGATTCGAGGCTCTGTTGTTTAGCCAAGTCCCCAGCCCTTACTTTACTAGAAAATGTGTGTGTGTGTGTGTGTGTGTGTGTGTGTATGTTACACATTAATGTATGTTCTATTTATACAATAAAAGCTAAACAAGTGTCCAGACCTGTGGCCCAGTTTCTGCCTTAACTTGGAGCTCTTGCCATAGCTGCAGTTGGTGAGGACAGTGAGAAATGCCACCTTCACCCTGATCCCCAAAGTCTACTACTTTCCTCCAGTTCTTGATGTCTTTGTATCCCGAGGAGGCAGTCCCTGACTCCTCTTCCCTCCAGGTCCCATCTTTGATGTGTGTTAACTCCTTGTAAAACATGACTTGTAAAACATGTGCAAAACAGCTGCCCTCTTAATCAGATCAGTTGTGCTCGTGAGCAGGAGTGTGCTTGTTAACTGCCGGTGTTCCATTCCAGGAGGGCCATTGAACTCTCTTCTGAGATTCCCAACCACTGCTCCCAGGGGCTATTTGTATGCCATTTGGCCCAAGCTTTGGGTTGTCTATGGGATCTCAAAAGTGCTAGAGCAGTGGTTCTCAACCTGTGGGTCACACCCCCCCCACACCAACCCTCTAGCTTCAAAAATATTTACATTATGATTCATAAAAGTGGCAAAATTACAGTTATGAAGTAGCAATGAAAATAATTTTATGGTTGGGGGTCACCTCAATGGAGGAACTGTATTAAAGGGTCACGGCACCAGGAGGTTGAGAACCACTGTCCTAGAGTGTATGGTCTAGGGAGAGTTAATTAAAATGGGGGCTCCATTTGTATAGTTATAGGGAAATCATCATTTAAGCTGGTAAAGACTCCTTGCTATGAATGTTTTGGGGTCCCCCACAGTCCTGTCAGTTACCCCCTCACTCATGCTTTTTAAGTAGGTCCAATAAAGTCGTTGGTTCCCCAGGGTGAACTCTGGGACAATGTGAGGAGGGGGCAGATGGGCCCAGGGTAAGGTTTGTGGACGCTTACTCTAGGCTTGGCGTTGAGTGACTCTTAGTTTATGGTTAGTTCACAGGGTGGCATTTAACCTTTACAACGACCTTAAAGGGCTAGATGCCAGTATTGTTCCCATTTTACAGATGAGAACGGCAAGATTCAGAAAGAACAAATAACTTGTCCATAGGCAGTGGGGAGGACAGAATGAGAATTTTTGTCAGGTGTGTTTCACTCTGGTCATGTTACTGATTCTTCATGCCCACCCCCTGCCAGGAACACTCTCTCTCTCTCTCTCTCTCTCTCTCTCTCTCTCTCTCTCTCTGTGTGTGTGTTTGTGTGTGTGTAGCTTTGTCACTGTGCTTTGGTGACCTGCATTCCATCCTGAAAGTCAATTTCTTAAAAGATCTACAGATGGTTACAGCTCTCAGCTGGGAGTGCTGACATACACCTGCCATTCTAGTACACAGAAGGCTGAGGCAGGGTGATCGCAGGAATTCATGGACCGGTTACATAGGGAGATGCCCACTAGATAGACACATGGCAGCTCTCAGGCAGGAGAGGACCTGACTTCTATCCCAGGAACTCATGCAAAAAACTGCGTGGTTACGGCAGTATACACCTGTAATCCCAGCACTAAGAAGGTGGAGACAGGGATCCCTGGAGTTTTCCAGCCAACCAGTGTGTAGCTGACAAGTGAAAATGGAAGACCCTGTTTCAAAACCAAGGTGGATGGTAACTGAGAAGTAGCGTCTGTGGGGTCCTCTTAGCCTCCACATGCTTATATACATCCACACACCCTCACGCAAAGAGATGTGATGAGATTTCCCCCACTCTATGCGGTACCATTTTTTTTTTTTGACTGGGCTTCACATAGTAGCTAGGGCTGTCCTGGAAACTCAGTAGTGGCAGACTGACCTCAGATTTCAGATTCTCCGCCCCCACTTCCCGAGTGCTGGGATGACAGATGTCCACCACACCTGGCTTATTTATCGCTTTCAATGGAAATCCCTTCTATACATATCAATGAAACACACACACACACACACACACACACACAGAGAGAGAGAGAGAGAGAGAGAGAGAGAGAGAGAGAGAGAGAGAGAGAGTTTCTCAATAATGCTACAAGACAATTTGGGAGGGAAAATTGGGACATAAAAAGATAGTAATCCCCCCCCCCCTTTTTTTTTCCCAAGACAGGTTTTCTCTGTGTAACAGCTCTGGTTGTCCTGGAACTAGCTCTTGTAGACCAGGTTGACCTCGAACTCCCAGAGAAATGCCTGCCTCTGCCTCCCAAGTGCTGGGATTAAAGGCATGCACCATCACCATCTAGAGTGCCAAGAAATCTTAAATGTCAAAGGTGTGCCACAATAGCAAGCACCTCGGGGACTCAAAAACTGAGGCACAGACAGGGGAGGGGATCCTCAGGAACTGGTGGGACTGGCTGGCAGCCCCAGTGCCCAAACTCCCTTGGCAGCAGGAGCAGCCAATGGAGAGTTGATGACTAAGCTTTTTGGGTGAAATGCTAAGGATGACTTTTTCCATTTTGTTCCTGATGGGAGCAAGAATGTCTCCCACGTCTTTGATTCTGATAGTGTGGGCTGCTGAGCAGGGATTCATGGTCCCTGTAGGGAGTAGTAAGACCCTGGAAGCTTGGGCAGAAAGGTGATGGCAGGAAAGATTGGCTAGCACCAGCGTGGTGGTGGATCTTTCTTGTCTCACCCTACCAGGACCAGGAAGGGGCAATGGGAGCCTTTTGCGTGTGTGTGGGGGGGGCAGTGGGGGCGCTTGGAACTTTGATCATTTTTGGTAAGACTACCATTGGTAGCAAGACTGTCTTGTCGGGAGCTGGACACTTGGATGGCCTCCTGGAAAGCTAAGTGGTAACTTGAAGCTAATTGTTGTCCCTCAAGTACCAGGCAAGGGAGGTCCAGAATCCTGTCTGGGTGTAGACTTCGAAGGAAGTTAACTCCAGGTTAGGCTGCAAACCATCTGTGAAGTTTTCAGCCCACACCTTGTGTCAAGGTGCCTATTGTTTCTTATGAAATCTATACTATGACCTTGGTAGAAGTGGGGACGGGCTGCGTTTTCTGAGGCTCTAGAGATGTGGGATGAGAGCTGGGTGGACATGCTTATGCCTTTCCTAGACGTTGTGAAGGCATGACCAGCAGTATTTTGCTCTCATCCCAGTTTTGACTAGCAGCCTTTCTGCCGCCGACACCTCTTCCCCCATGAATTTTGGTGACCCTGGTCTAACTGTGGGCACCGGGAAAGAAGGAGTTAAGGGGAGGGTGGGCATGCTTGGGTTGGGGTTGAGGTGTTTAATAGAAACAAGCAATTGGCGAAAGTGAACGTGGGCAGCTTCTTTGGGGTGGAGAGGAAGGAGGGTCAGCTGCTAAGCTGCAGCTTGCCACCTCCCGCGTGTGTCTGCCTGCGTATGCAGCGTGCACGTGTGTGTGTGTGTGTGTGTGTGTGTGTGAGAGAGAGAGAGAGAGAGAGAGAGAGAGAGAGAGAGAGAGAGAGAGAGAGAGAGAAAGAGAGGGAGAGTGCGCGCGCACCGAGGCGTTCCTCAGGTTGCGCTGCCTGGAAACGGAGGGAGCCATTGGAGAGGCTTTGGGGGGTGGGGGTGGGAGCTCCCTAATCCCAGGAGAAAATCGGGAGAGACTGGGATGGCCAATTCAGCCCAATAACCAGGCTTGGAGGAATAGGGCAAGAGTGGAAGGGGATCGTTTTGCTAGAGATCGCTAGGCTTCTCCTCGGAGGAGCCGGGGAGGTACTGGGGAGGAGGCCGGAGCTGCATGGAGTTTCTGGGGCGCACAACTCCGGCGGGGCCTCGGCCACTGGGCTCCGGGGCGCAGCGAGGAGGCAGCCGCGCACATGGGCTGAGCCCGCGCGGCCAGCGGGCGCGGGAGGGGTAGAGGCGAGCTCGGTGCAGGGGGTGCGGGGCGCACGTTTCCCTAGACGGGAGGCGAGGACAAGGACAGGGTCGGAAGGAGCAGCCTGGATCACCGCGGGCTCTGCAAAGATCAGCAGACTCAAAGGAAAGACTTGCACGGGGTACCCGGGCGCCACTGGGTTGGGCAAAGCTGCCTCCCAACCGGAGTGGGGGACGCCGTGGGAGCCGGCGGCAGAGAGGAAGGATGCCCGCGCGGGGACGCGTGTGAGCGCCAGGCTGAGCGCTCGGTTTCGCGTCGCCCCCTCCCTGCGGGCCTCGGAGGAGGTGCCTGGGCAGCCGGGCAGCGGAGCCCGGGCTCCAAGAGAGGTGAGTGCTGCTCTCTCCCGGTCCTCATCCCGCATCCTCCCTGCATCCTTGCCTCCCTCGCTGCTTCCATGGTCCCTTCCCGGATGCCCCTACCCTAGCGCGCCTCGGAGTGGGCGGGTGTGCTGCCCACAAGCGCCTCCCGGACCTGTTGGCCCGGCTTTAAGCACCCCACCTCTCAGGGCCGGGGTATCACCCGTGCCACCTCGATTTCTCTTGATGCTTAGGGTGGGTGAGGGACGCTGGAATTGCAGAAGGGCCTGGATTTACTCTTGGGGATCCCGGGACTGTGCCAGCTCGTGGAGTCTTGGGTGCCAGTGGCTACCGGACTGCGCGTCCCCCAGGGACGTCCAGATTGTGGGAAAGGGAGCTCTGGGTGTCAGGGATCCGATCTGCATAGCAGTCTAAGTGGGAGTCCTTGGTGTCTTCCTGGTCTCCGGGAAGCTGGAGTCATGGCGATCTATAGGGGGAGGTGGGAGGTATGGTTCACGCCATCTCCAGTCCCCTGTCCCTGAAGCTCGCCCCCTTGGGCAGGATCGGTGGTTTTGGAACGCATGGGGTGACCCTAGAGGCTCCAGGCAGTCCCACCGGGACCCCGAGTGGCAAGCTTTGGAACTAATCCAGATCCAGGGCAGAGGTAGACTGCCTCTCTAGTGCAAGACAGGTTTGCTGGGTTGCCCAGCTTCTCCAGACCAGCGCTCTGGGGAGTGAACTTCCTCAGACTTGGTCTGAGGGCGCCTGGGCAGCAGCAGGTAGTTCTAGTCCTGTCTCAGGGCTCTGGAGGTCCCCAGGATGCTTCGACCCACTGGCAGGTGGTGCTAAGTCGGGACCCGGCACTGCGGTTTGATTCCACAGTGCGGGCCACGTGCACCTTCGGCCCCCATCCGGGGCGTTTCTTCTCAAAGCTGTTCCTTTGCACCAGGAGCCTGTAAGATCCCATTTGCGCCTCATTCCTTAGCTCCAGGGGAAGCGGTGTCTGCATGCATTTCCTTAGGTGCCAAGACTGGGGCGCCATCCCAAAGGCCCCAGCCTATTCTTTTTTTTCTTTTGCTTTTTTTTTAAACATTAAAAAGGAGACATTCCTGGGTTCAAAACATAGCACCCGAGAGACCCTGTGGTCTGTGGCTGTGAAGTCTGGTAAATTGTGGTATTAACTACATCTGCAGTGGCCAGGTGCAGCCTGGGCTGCGGAGTTCCTGAGACCTGTAGAAAGAACCGGGGGCTGTGTTAACCCCCGTGCGTGTGCTCGATACCACAGTATTTCTGCACGTGGGGAGACTCGTGTTCTGCATCTAACTGCTGTCTCCCAGTTGCAAAGATCAACTTAAAAAAAAAACAACCAAACAAACCACACACACAAAACCACCAGAATCAGAGCTTAGCAGAGGTTGTAAAGCCGTTTGGTGTGGAATTTTCTTACAGGGTGGAGCATGACACATTGTCCCTTCCAACAGGACAGCAAGACTCCGGCTGCTGTCCGCGTTGTTGGAGTGTTGGAGGGGGCGATTTAACAGTTTTATTTGTTTGTTTATTTATTTGTTTATTTATTTATGTAAGGTGGCAAGCATAATGTGAATTGTTTTTTTATTATTTATCAATTTTTTATTTTTTTATATATATATCGGTGTGTGTGTGTGTGTGTGTGTGTGTGTGTGTGTGTGTGGTGTTGGAGACCAGAGGCATGGAATCTCCCTGGAGCTGGAGTTAACATGCAGTTGTGAGCTAGCTGACATGGGCGCAGGGAAGTAGACTCAGGTTCTCCGGGCAAGAGCAGCGAACACTTGGCTTGACCACTGAGCCATCTCTTTAGCCCTGGTTTTTAAGTTTGCATCACTGGGGATGAAACCATGGCCATGCATGCATATACAGGGAGTACTCTACCACTGAGTGAAGTCCCCACCTCCTAGAGCTGGTTTTGATTTGCTAATTCTGCATTGTGAGGTGTTGGCTGAAGTCTGACTCTACCCTTCAGGCCTCTAGGCAGGCAGCTCCCTTGTGCCTAGTTCAGCATTCACCCATGGGGCTTGGGTCATGGGGTTTGTTTGCTTCTTCTCTAAGCAATACAGGGGGTCCTGGGAAATGCCAAGGCTGCCCCTGAGCTGAGTGGCTTCAGAAAGGTGACATTTTTAGAGTCTGTGGAAGCTTGCTTGGGGTTTAACAGAAACAGCTGGGGCACCTTTAAAAACCATTTTAGGATTGTTCACCAAAATGTTACCTCTCCTCAGACCCTGAAAGTGACTATTGCCACCAACCCAGCCTTCGCTGAGAGTGTGGGGTAGAGGCTTTATAGAAAGAAACTAAGTAGCCAGGAATGGTGGCCAAGGCTTGTAACTCCCAGCACTTGGGATGCTGAGGCAGGAGGATTGAGGCCAGGTTGGGCTGTATTGTGAGACTGTGTCTAAATCAACCAATTGACCATCCATGTTATTTTTACCCTGACTCAAAACAAATGCACAGAGAAAGAAATAGTTGAACTCAGCTAGTACCATTGAGAAAAATCACAGTTCAGTCTTAACGGGGGACCCTTGAACCCTCTTCCTCTGTGGATGACATGAGTAGGCAGTGGGACAGGGTGGAGGTGTCTGATAGCTGCTCCTTTTTTCCTTTTTTGTATTCATGTTTGTGTGTGTGTGCGCCAGTGTGTGTGGGTGTGCAAGTGTGGAGGTCAGAGGTCAACCTTGTCTGTCATTCATCAGGTACTATCCCTCTTGGATTTTAAAAAAATATTGAAATTTATTATATATATATTGTGTGTGTGTGTGTGTGTGTGTGTGTGTGGACTAGAGTGCTTGTTGAATATGTGAGGCTGGCTATGAAGTCCCAGGCATCCTCCAGGATCTGGGATTCGAAGTGTGTGCCACCACGTCCCGATCAAGTTCAGGTTCTCATGGGTGCTTACACAGCAAGTCCTTCACCGACCAAGCTGTCTCCCTAGCCCAGTATCTACTCTTTTGGATTTAGCATTTACCTTCTCGTTACAAAGCCTGTGGTTAGGACTTAAATACAGGGCAGGGAAGGGTTCCCATTTAGAATTCCTTCTTTCTCCCCCTCGCTTCCTTTTCTTTGAGACAGGATCTCAGTGGCTCAGGCTGATCTATGATCTATCTCTGCTTTTCTGTGGAGTGGAGGAGGACTTTGAACTCCTGCTCCTTTTGCCTCTCCCTCCCCAGTGCTGGAATTACAGGTTCATGCTACCAGACTCAGCTTAAAAATTGATTTAGCATAACTTGTGTTCTTGGAGGAGCCAGTGTGCCCAGCGGTCACTAGCATGGGAGTGTCTCTGTGAACTGGTCCTTGGGACTGTGTGCACACTGGGAAGCTGGTGAACCCATTACTGTGCCGACACGTTTGTGGGAGGGGACCAAGCTGGGAACTGACTCTCATTAGCTAATTCTGGCTCCGATGATGACCTTCAGATATTTAACTCCCACCCCACTTTTTTTTTAACCCCATGAGACAAGATCTTGTAGCTCAGGATGGCCTCGAACTTGTATCCTCCTGCCCCGGCCTCCTGAGTGCTGGGATGATCGGTATGAGCTACCATGCCCCATGGACACAGGACTGTGGATGGAACCCAGGGCTCTGTGAAAGCTTAGCAGACCCTGTACCTCCTGAGCCACCTCCTCAGCCAATTAGACCCCATCCTTCTTTTCATTTCCTTCTTCCTCCAACTCTTCATCTCCCCCTCTTCTTCCCCCTCCCCTTCTTTTTTCCCCCTCTTTCTCCTTCCCTCTCTTTCCTCTCTGGTCCCCGCCACCCCTTGTCATCATTGTTATTGTAGATCATTCCACACAGGTACAGGATGGGTGGCTTCTCCTTGCCCTTCACTTGAGGCTTAGATGCCTGTAGTTAGAATCTGCAATAGCTGCTCATGCTTTAAGACAGCATGCTCCCTGACTCTCAAGCCACGAAGCCCTCCTCCTGGGTTAAAGGCTCCAGTTGAGGCCGCTTCTCAGCGCAGCCGGAAAGGAGGAGACTCCAAATGCATTGGCTGCCTCTGACCTGGCCGTTTCAAAGTGATTTATCTTTTTAATTGTTACACATCCCACATTGGCTGGGGATACGACTCAGTTGGTAGAGCGCTAGCCTAGCACACACACAGCCTCTTTAGATCTCCAGCACTTCACAGAAGGCACATGGTGGTGCACACTTATAGTCCCAGCACCCTGGGAGGTGGCGATGGGGGCAGGGAGATCAGGAGTTCAAGGTCACCCTAACCTGTGTTGTGAGTTTGAGACCAGCCTGGAATACGTGAGATCCTGTCTCAAACCTCTAAAGCCAGAATACACTATTAGATAGCAAGGGAGGGTTTGGCGTTCTCGATCTTAAAGATTGAGACAAGGGAGGAACGAGAGAAGAAGTTGGGGGATAGGCAGGAGTCTTTGCTTAGGACCCAGTTCTCCATCAGGGCTTGAATGTACTGAGAGATACTGAAGGGGAAATGCCAGAGGCCTGGACGCTGCCCCGGCCAATGCTGTGGACTAGGCAAGCTATGGGAGAGACCGATGCCAAGACAGGAGCACTGGTATTTCACATACGTGGTCTGTAGAGCTCTTGTTCTTTTTGTGGTAAGGCTTTTGTTGGTTATTGTTTTTTTTTTTAAATAACATTTTAAATTATGTTAACACATGTGTGTCTGTGTGGAGGTTTAAGCATGTGGATGCTGGCACCCTCGGATGCCAGAGGCATGAGATCCCTTTCTGAGTTGCAGGTGGTTGTGAGTCACCTGGCAAGAGTGCTAGGATCCTAATTCGGGTCCTCAGCAGAGGCAGCAAGTGCTCTTAACTGCAGAGCCTGGGCTTTGTCTGTTTATTTACTTTGCATGCATACAAGCCTGTGAACCATGGGGTGTAGATGAAGCCCAGAGGAATCTGCTCTTTTCTCCTACCATGTGGGTCCTGAGGAGTGGATTCAGGTTGTCAGCCTGACCTGCAAGGGATGATGGGGGACTCTTTGGGGTTGGGATGTTCTTGGAGAATTAGTTTGTGACCCATGGTAGCTGG